CACCTCTCTGCTTTCATTCATTGCAGTTCTTTTTTGCCTGCATGCCCATCAGGCTGCCCAACCTTGGGGGTGACCCTTGACTCCTCTTTTTCTCTTAAATCACAGCCAATCTGACAAAAGGCCTTCCGTTCTAACTCTAAGTGTAGTACACTTCTTGCCATCTCCATGGCCTCTGCTCTAGGATCAGCTACCATCATCTCTCCTGGACTATTTCAGCAGCCTCCTAACTGGTCTCTGTCACTCATGCTTTTTTCCCTCCAGTTCACCTCAACAAAGCACTCAGAGTGATCTTTTAGAAATCATAAAGCACATGATGTCATTCCTCTGCTTAAAATTCCTGGTGCCTTCCCATTGCATGTAGCATCTCACCCCTGCCTTCCTCTCCAGCCTCATCTTGTGCCACCTTCTCCCCTGGTCCTGCCACCTGGGCCTTCTTTCTGTTACTTGACTAGTTGATTCTGCTTCACAGTAAGTACATAAGTAGAATCTTGACTGTTCTCTTTACTAAGTGTCATCATTTTTTAAAAAGAAAGCTCCTTGATTGCTTGTGGATATGTGTTTATGTGTTTATTGGCTTTATCTACAACATATACCTTTTTTGTTGTAATTTGTTTGCTAAAATTGCACATATTTCTCTTATAAATTTCTTGGATCATTGTTTTGCTTGTCATTCTACTCATGATTCAACAGATGTCTTTTGAGAGTCCTACTATATGTCTAAGACTCACTCTTCTAGGCCCTAGGAATATAGCATTGAACAAAAGTCAGTCCTTACCCTGATAGAGCTTACATTCTAAAGGGGGAACTAGACAAAAAATAAGTAACTATGTTGTAGGTCAGATGGAAATTAGAGATATCTTTCTAATATCTCTTTATCTTTCTGTGGAGAAAAATAAAGGAAGGCCAAGAGATGCAGATAGTGTGGTGGGTGGGGGTGGTTCTTGCTGTCATACAGGTCGTCATGGAAGACCTTATTGGGATGATGTTTGAGCTAAGACCTGAAGGAAGTGAGAGAACAGTCTATACAGATACTGGGGAGAAGAGGGAACGACCAGGAGCATGCTTCTCATGGTGATCGATACCCAGGAGTTCTGCACAGCTGGAATGGAGTGAGCAAGCTGGGAGGTCATAGATTAGAGGGCCAGGGAGCCACTGAGCAAGGTGGGGAGTCATCAGAAGGTTTTGAGCAGAGTAGTGACATAATGTGACATGTTTTAAAAGGTTCTCTCTGGCTACCATGCCAAGAATGACAGTGTAGGGTGTAAGAGCAGTTAGGATGCTGCTTCAGAAACCTGGATGGGAGATGATGGTGGGGTGGGTGAGCAGCAGAAGAGATGGTAAGATGCCCATGCATTAGTAATTTTTGACCCTAGTTTTGGAATATTCCTTGTTACTTAAAGGATTGTTATACAATTTGAAAACAATTAAAAATTT